GCATGGACTAGGACGAGTGATGTGTACAATATTTGGCCTTCTACAAATGTGTATGCTGTGACATAACTGGTTAAATTGATCGGATATTAAAATATGAATTGCAGAATTCGACATTTAAAATTTATTCATGGCAATCAGCCTACTATAATGATAAAGTACATAACTGATGCTTTAGAGCAGATTAAAAAGGTTTATGGAAAAGAGTACAAGAAAGTACATTGTAGATAAAAGTCTCTAAAACGTATCCATACTGTAATTTACCTGAAACATATTTTTTGTTCACCATACATATTTGTTACTTTCGTTTAGCGCCTGCTGTATTTTGATCGTTCCTTCTCATCTTCACAAGTGTGGCCTGTGACGGGATTCTTTACAATAGATTCTGGATACCCAAGATTGAAGTTTTTGCTTTTTCTTTGCTTACTCCTGGTCCATGTTTATCCCACGAGAAGGTCATTTCTGACAGGTCTTCGCGTGACAGAAGAAAGCTTATAAAAAACGAAACGCGACACCAGCCTAATATTCGGAATTCTGTCTCAAAGAATTAATTGAAAATAAGAATACATATTTGTTACAATTAATAAAAAAAGACAGACTATTTTTTTCCAAAGAAATCCTAAATTTTTAGCTGCTTTTTAGAATTTACCTTCTCGGTAATGACAAGAGATTTTAAAATGTTCAGTGAACTAAAAATAGAGAGACTTACGTCATTTTTATTATCAAAGTACCGTCCAAGTTGCGTAATAGGGTTTTTTGGATTTGTTGCTTCGGCCGCACTCTGAACATGTATTTCTCCCGCAACTGATAACCCGTCGTCTTCCTCACTCTCTTGTTTTTCATCCTCAGCGATGCTCTCTGCATCGGATATTTTACCACATACAGCAAAATCTTTATCCACGTTGACAAAATCTGCATAAGAGATGGCAGGATCAGAAATGACTTCCACCAAGGAAGGAGCTCTTCTGTTAAAGTGTTCTACATTCTCGTCCTTTTTTATGAAACCAGATTTTTTGAAACAGTGTTTGATCGTTTCGGGTATAACTTTGTCTCAAGCTTTCTTACATATTCGAGATGCTTGTAGAATGTCTAACTTTATTTTAAGGGAGGTCCAATCTTCAATATGTTTTCAACCAAAAAAACGTCTGTAAAAATGTTTAAGATTTTTTATGACACCCTGGTCCATAGACTGGAAAACTGAAGTCATGTTAGCAAGAAAAAAAAATAACTTTTACATTTTACATTAGGTTGTGTGCCGTACAGTTGTGAATAAACAAAATTACTTTTCTTTCTTCCTTTATGAACTTTTTGTGTAATTTTTTTCAGCCATTTGTCGAAAAGATCACTAGTCATCCAGGCACTTGCGCTGCTCACATATTCCACTGGTTTTGAATTGACGTTCTTAAAACAACGCGGATTAGCAGACTTGCCAATCATCAGTAGAGGCAGTCTTTCTGATCCGTTCATGTTTGCACCAATTAGGAGAGTGACTTTTTCTTTACTTGATTTTCCTCCGTGACGTTTTTCGTTTTTAAATGCCAGTGTTTTGTCAGTGCATTTAAAAAAATACCCGTCTCGTCAACATTGAGATATCTCTTTCATATATATCCTGAATCATCTCCTCCAAATTATTTTTCATTGGTTGGCTTTTTGCCGATTAACGGCCCCACTTACTTCACAAAATGGATTTGAATGAAATTTTGTTGCGTTCTTTGAAGCCGTCGAGCCACCCTGCACTCGCCTTCAAATTGTTTTTCCCATTTTAATAGCAAATTGTTTAGCTTTGCTTCTTATAAGAGGACTCCTCACGGGAATACTCTTATCCCTGGCTTGTTTGAACCATTTTAAAACACAACTGTCTAAATTTGGATTTTCTGGCTCCCTTAACCTTTTTCGATCTTTAGCGCACTCACTTTCACTGTCGAGAATTTTTTCTTTATTCTTCAAGTAGGTGGATAATGTATTAGGAAGAATTCCAAAGTCCTTGGCATCGCAGGTTTTTTCTTCGTCCCCTTTTCTACTTGTTTAATCGCCGCTATTTTTTCCAATAACGTCAAAGTTTTGTATGTTCGAAGTTTACCATGCGACGACATCTTCGCTCTATACGAATTGACATACTGACGTGATTTGTGGTGATTGCAACACTAAGGCACAAGGCACTAATGAAGAATTTTTAGTAGCAATATACTGTGGCCAACGCATCTTACTGAAGGGGCGTGCCGTACAATGGTCTTGAATGCCTTGAAACAAGTGGCACGTTAGGACAGGAAATAATACTCTTTTCGCGGAAATTTCCAGCATGAAATTGGCATTTTTAACTTGAAGTAGAAAAGTTCTGGTAGAAGTTTTCTGGTAGAAAAGTTGGAATTATCCAAAATATAATTTGAATTATTCACGACTTTTTACCATTATTTATATAGGAAATGCTAGGGATCAGAATGGATCTATGGATGGATGACTGTAGCGACAGACAGAGAAGAATGGAAAAGGATTGGGAAGGCCTATGTCCAAAGATGGACCGAAGAAGGCTAATTAGATAGATAGATAGATAGTGATCAGAATAAAAATTCGAATTAAAGAAGATTTCGAATTCGCGAAGGTCGAATTAAGCAGGTTCCACTGTAATAGAATTTATCATATTTCCGATATAGGAAGAGGGCATCGAAGGGTACGTGTGGTACGAAACAACGAAATAGTCGCTAATGGACGTCTGATTCTTTTTCTTTCCGTAACATACCTGTCTTTCCTCAAAGGAACACTATGCATAACGGGGCATATTAGATCTTCAAGTAAAAGAAAGTTTTCTTCTGAAACTGTGTTTAAACTAGGATTGTTGATTTTGTATTATTCTATTTCTTTGTCAAATTTTTCTATTAAAATATATTTTTTATTTTTAGTTCCACGTTGTTTAAATTTAAGCGCGCTCTGGTCTCTCGATTGTAATAATAAACTTTTATAAATTTTGAAGGCTGACCTTGGACCGTTAGCGATTCCGTTTACGAGGTTATGCAGCAAATCTAGCGATGTTTGCCTCGGATCATGGCAATGCTTCGATAATGGCGACGCGTTCGAATAATAAACACCAAAAATCTTCCGTTACTTTTGGTTGATTTTAACATGGGCGTGACGAGATTCCGGCAACGGTTTTTTGCGGTTTATATAAAATAAGCTGCTGTGGAATAGAAATTTTTTATTTAACTCTTTGGGTGAAAGTAGAAATACTAGATTTTTCCCTTAGACACGCATATAATCGGATTTACTTTGGATAGATAACGTTGCACGTTTAGAATAACAAAAATCATTCATTAGAAAATTAGTTCCGAGTTTCATTCAAACTTGTGTCTGTTGGAGTGAATAAAATACTAAACCATATGATTAGAATGGATGATCACAATGGAAAGATTAACATATTCATTTCAAATGAAATGCAAATAATAATTAATTCCATGCGCAAGGCATTGGCGGCTGGTGTGGTAAAATTTTGGGTAGGTCAAGCCAGCAAATTACATCATAAATTTAGCGCCATATTCTGTGAATCTTTTGTTATCGCCCAATTCCAGTTATTGAAACTTTTTGTAATCCGAGAAACGTTGTTCTAATTGAGTGATAATATTGTCCCAAATCCCAAAAAAGATAACAAACACGGCCAACAATATAGTCTGTTTTTCGTAATACTTCCAGACAACCATTTATAAACATCATACCAAGAACAATTAAAAGTACGCACCTTTTTCCGATATTTTTGGTAAATACGCAATGTTGGAGTAGGCCTTTCATTCATTCATAATAATTTTTTTTTCTATCAACTTCAGTTCTTCTAGATAATTTCGTTTCCAATAGTGAAACAACAATGTCCAAACACTCACTATTAATATTACTATTACTGCAACCTGGTAAAGCGTCAGAAAAACTCATTTTTATGTATCAGTTATAAAACGATCTTACTATTCCAAGAAAAATTTAAAAAAATCAACCTCGATTGGCCAAACAACTAGTACATTAGTGCAACTAGTATAATAATAACAGATGATAACAGTGAAAATTGAACTAATGCTCGGCGACAGTGTTGCCATATATAAGTTGCATACAATCATGCGATATAGAAATCATGCAAATGTGATTATTTTTTTCGAATTTTACGAATTTTTTAATATTTATTTGGGCAACCGTGCACTTGTTTGCAATTGTGTTGTTTGTCTAAAAATATGTTACAATTATAGATTATGTTACATATTTTTTTATCATAATTTAAAAGAAAATTTATATTACAATTCGATAATTTCGTTACAAGTGACAACGATGGTCGGCGTAGGCCCGATCGTCTGGTGCCTAAACCGCCAACATAAACACGACAATATAAATCGTTTTCCAGCAAGCTGCTTAACTTCAAACGCTTTTTGTACGGGGATCTTATGTGAGGTGGGTCTACCAGTTCCGATCGGGCCTGAAATACCTGAAAACGATTTGATGCTTTCTGTGGTAATATAATAACATAGTTGTTATAACGGACGCTAATGTATTGAATGATTTAGTACATTTAAAAGTTATTTACATGAATTAACATAATTTTTGAATAATATGTTTTTCAATTTTAAAGCTCTTAAAATTATTGGGTAGGCACGGCCTATCCTGCCTACCCCCAAAAGCCGCCACTGGCGCAAGGTAAAATCAGTAATAAAAAGAGAAAAAGCTATACCTTTTAAAAAAATACTACATATAAAGTAAACAAATATTATCTTTTGTAATGTAAAACCACTTATTCTTTTATTTCTCTGTCAATAGGAATATTTAGCCGTTTGAACAAAAACATGTGATTTAAAACGTGACAAATATTTGTTGGCCAATTTGATTTAAGTTCAAAATTTCGGATTTCATACAATTACAGACTGAAGGGTGGCCGTAAATACATTATTTTTTTACACCATTTATTTTCGGGTTTTAACGGTGCATTGACGAGACGATTCTTTGAACATATTATAATGTTACTTTTTTTATTTTTTCAGGGATCAAGTGTGCGAAGATTCGGAAGAAGAGTTTTACTATACAGAAGTAGAATTAGGGTTGACTAGCCCCCCTCCCACTCTCTCCCACCGCGACATGGCCAGACCTTTCCATGAAGACCCCGATTACCAAAGATTTTTGGTTGGCAATATGCGCCAGTGTTTGCTAAGCCAGCAGCAGCAGCAGCAGCAACAGCATCAAATACAGCCACAGCCGCAACCACCACAGCCGGTCCCACAATCGCCACACAAGCTCCTTAAGTTGTCGCCTCGTCCTCACAGTCCCAAGATGCCAGTATCCCCCAGGAGGATCCGAGGCGAAAATAAGAAATGCCGAAAGGTATATGGAATGGAACACAGAGAACAGTGGTGCACACAGTGCAAGTGGAAAAAGGCTTGTTCTAGGTTCGGCGACTGATACGCGCCCTCCAAACGTTAGAGACGCTTATCAAAAGTGCCCCGAAATGTGTTCTTTAAAGGACAAAAAGGGTGCGGACTACCCTGATCTCAACACTTGATGGAAGTACAACTAATACGATATTTCTCTAGTGATTGTCAAAGATCAATCAAATCAAGCTGTATCTGTGTTCTTTCAAAAAAAAAAAACTTTACTCAATATACTGCTGCACTTCTTCGGAGGCTCTACTACAGATCCAACTTTACTAAGGAATATATGAAACTGATTTAGTTTTGATAGATTTTTGGTATTTAACCAATAGTTAGTTTATGATGCAATATGCAGTATGTTATCTAATTTTCGGGTTTCTCAAACTTCACAAAACTTAGTTGTAGGCAACAAGAAAAACCTTTGCTGCTGTTTTAAAGATTATTTACAATACTTTGAACTACATAATAAAGTCCATTAGAGTTACTACGTTATTATAGCTGTTAATTATTGTTGTTAAGAAAAAAGCATTATCATGTTTGTAATTTAAAAAAATCATTCATTTTATTTATTATCGCATCGTTATTTATTGTATCGTTTTTGCATTATTCGTTTTTTATTGACTGTTAATGTTATTTTTTATTATTACCATGAATATAAAATTAATGTGTGCAGTATATCATACGAAACCTCATATAATAGATGTATGTACATAGGATTTGTTTCTAATTTGTCTCAGAAGCGTATTTGTTTTGTTTTATTTTATTAATTCAAAATAAAGAATTTTTTGCATATAAGGTTGTGAGCAAGCTATAACAAGTTTGAGAAGTGAAGTATTTTCAAATTATTATTATTTTTTTATTTTATATAGGACTTTTAAATCAGAATATAGCTAGCAGTTGTATTCTTATACTTTTATTTCATTATTCTGCACTGTCAATTCCTTGATCTCCTCTAACAAAGTAGATACGACACGTTCTAATTATTTTACCACTTTTTAAGAACTTGATTGATTGTTTTACTTCACTTCTCACGCTCTATATATAATTCTTTGTTTTTTGTTAAAAATATTTTAATATATCAAAATTTAAATGCTATTAGCATGCATTCTGTAGTTAACTTGGATCTGTAGAATCATAAGACTGCAAATTTAGAGAGTCACGTCCACATTCTTTTTTGAGACATCTTTACGGTTGCCATTTTAAAGGTAACTAGACTGACAATGGACTGAACTACTCTATATACCGACTAATATTAATTGAGCCTCCCAGTATTACCAATACATAGAGTCTAGTGATGTAGGACTGAGTCTCAGAAATGTTATTTAGATTTTGTTGTGATTTTGTTCAGATTGTATTATTTTCGTCAGAAATGTTTTATTTGTTTAATGGTATTTAAGGTTTATCGTGGTTATGTCAACAATAAAAGCAAATATTGACTATTCACTATATATTTTTAAATTCATAATCGTAGAGTTTGTGGATTGTTAAAAGTCATTACGTTTCTTTAACATACTGCATCAGATACACGTTTATTCTTTTTTAATTAATATGTTGTTTCTTATAGTGTATGGAACAACTGGACTAAGCAGGAAGCAGCTTCTACGACTCCATAATAATAGTAAAATTAATATTATTCGTCAAGACTAGGAATGACTTTAAGTTTGCCCATCGGCGCAGAGAACAGACAAAAAAACGGAATTTTTTTACAGGTCGAGTTTACTCCTCCTACTAAAATAATTTCCGGTTATTTTGCCGGGCATCAAGTGAGCGTGCCTATTATAGGATTTTCAAAGTTATTCCTAGTTTTGACAACGTGTATGGTATCATACTTCACTCTGAAAAATCTGGTATTTTGTGCCTACACGTTAAGCTCAAAAAGGAAAAAAAAAGTTCACATAACTACGAATACTAAAAGTATTTTCTAACAGGGAGTCTCTAATTTTACATTCTTTGTGATGTACAATGAAATTCCTTTGACATTTGCCTTAAAAAAAATGGTTAAGGTAATATTTATCCTGTCGATTATTTTTGACGAATAATAAAAAAGCTTGATTCTGGCAATATTAAAGTGTTAACAGGTTTAATATTTGTTGTTACGTCACAAAGAATGTATATCTAACTACCTATCTAGCAATCAAATATGGTAGAACTCATATCAAATCCTCAATTCAAAAATATATACTGGCAGTTCTTCAGTTTAATAAAGATGGTTTTTTGTGTAAAAATATATGTGTTCCAAAAGAGCAATAAAACAACATAAAAAGTTAAACATACAGCAACTCTCTTAAAATGTAATAGCGTTAAATGGACAGTATCGTTCTAGATACATATAATTCTTTACTTTTAGTTTATATCGAACATTTTATAAAATAACTCGTAGACAAAATTACCTTAGAAATATTATCACATCTTCAACGATTCTATTTGTTGTGAGTGTGCTCATGGTTTCTTCTGCAGCTGTTTCTACCTGTTTCTCCCGTTGTTGTACTAAGAACTTCAATACCATATTGCAATAATAACATCATTAAGTAAACAGAAGTAAAGGGTTTGAATCTAGCTTGAGGTTTAATATCATCAAAAATATCTTTACTCTACATATCTACTATATTTAAATACCATCATCATCAAATTTCTTATTTTCCTGCTTTTTTCTGAAGACCTTTCTGCTAGCAGCCTTTCTAGCTGCTTGTGTAGACGTGAAAACAATTGATCCTCGCGAAGGTCTTGAACTCCTTGTGAGAATTTAATTATTTTCAACTGCACTGTGTATGTGGTAGAATGAAGGTGTCAGATTGCATGTAATTAGATTCGTTGTAAAGAGAAAGTGTTCCGTATGGGACACCTTGAAATAATAATTCATTTCTTGAGCTTTTGTGCAGCATTTACACAGAGAACAACGATGACATAAAGTCCTCTTTCAGCGCTTGTTAGGAAACCCACCTGTTTCCGCCGTTTATGTGCTAAAATTATAGCAATTTAGAGCAAAAGGGCAAAAACTTAGCGATTGCCTCTTTATTAAAACAGCAGAGGTAGTCTTAAGAGTTCTAAAAGAAACATCTGAATGTCTCTTTAGAAAATCTCTAAACCTAGCCGTTCCAGCTGACTTTTTGTTTTTAGAAAACCTATCTTTAATCTTCTCCGCAAGCTCATAGGCCATTACACAAATGGTTTTCTTAATCATATCCAATAGTCGGTCTTCCATCTCTAAAATATACTCCTTTAAGTAAGTCTCCAATTCTTTGGGAAATGATGTAGTGAATCGACCAAGGCTTTTCGAGATCTGCTTTATGAATAAAGTAACTTAATTTTATTTCACTTTTAGTCTTTCTTTTTAAAGTACTCAAAGGCAGATTATAAAGCCTATCAGCTCTTTTAAAAGGCTTCTCATTAAAAATATTTAAAAGGTATACCGTTAAAAATATTTTCTAATACTTCATTGAATTTGAATCCCATTGCTGTCGTGTCTTCCGAACATAAGTTCTAACCATTAGTTCTCTGGACCAGGAGCCATTTTGTCTCTACATGGAGGGACCATTTTACCTCAAACTCTAATAAAATATAAAAACGAATTTACATAAGTGACTTCTGATCATTAGAATACAACAAACCGGCATATCTATCTTTTGTGGACTTTAAGAAACCATTTGACCGGGTCAAATTAAAAGACGTTATTCATTCACTTACTGTACACAAGAGAGACAGCTCTAGGAATACTTAAAACAATCGAAAATATCTACCAAAACAACACAATAAAAGTAAAAGTAGAAGAAGAACTAACCGATCCTATTGAAGCTGGCAATGGAATAAGACAGGGAAATTCCCTGAATCCTCTATTGTTCAACCTGATATGGATGAAATACTAAAAATAGTAAGAAAAAAGGATTACCAAATGGGAGAAAAACAACTTAAAATAATCTGCTATGCAGACGACGCAATACTACTCTCTCTAAGTGAAGATGATTTACAACGTATGCTGCACCAATTTAATATAACCGCCAGAAAATTTAACATGACAATTTCCCCAAAAAAGACAAAATGCATGGTTACAACAGCAAATTAACTAAGATGTAAATTGGAGCTGGATAATAGAACAAGTGATGGAGTTTAAATATCTAGGCGCATCACATTATCTAGCTACGGAAAGCTCGAAACTGAAGTGGAAGATCAAGTGAATAGAGCAAACGGTGCCTGAATGAAACAATATGAAGAAATAAAAATATCGGGAAAGATACGAAAGGCAGAATTTATAAAACAGTCATCAGACCAATAATGACATACGCAACAGAAACCAGACCTGACGCAGAGAGGACAAAAAGAATGTTAGAAACAGCAGAGATGAAAACACATAGAAAAATTGATGGTAAGACACTATGGAGCAAAGCTAGAAGTACAGATATATGACGTAGATGCAAGGTGGAGAACAACGATATCTAGATAAGAAATAAGAGTAGAGTGGAACGATCATATAAGACGAATGACAACAAATAGAGTAGTAAAGACGACAAGATACTGTTCCAAAATAGGAAGAGGATTAGTAGGAAGACCACGAAAACAATGGAACGATTTGCACATTGAAAAACAGACAGAGTCATGTCTATATAAAAAGAAAAAGAAGACTTCTGATAATTAGAGAGAAATTGCAACAGTTTGAAATAAATAGCAAAATTACCTTTTTAAACTCCTTAAAAATTCTACTTTAATTAAAATTTACTACACAATGTTCGTGAGCACGAAATTAGCAATATTACATGTGTTTTTATAGGCCATATTAAAACTAGCCTATTATTCTTTGTGCATCTTCATATTTTGTATTAAAAAACGAATTTTTAGTTCTATAAGTACTGTGCAGGGCCTCAGTATGGCAAAGCACGGCAGGGATGCCTCTTGTCACCCCTGCTTTTTAACGTTTACTCCGAAAGAATTTTCAGAAAAGCACTTTACGATACAGTACTCCTTGCTTCTAGTCAAGAAGATCTGCAAACACTACTTGATAGTGTCGTTGAGAGTTGTAGGGAGGCAGCTCTTGATCTTAACATACGGAAAACCAAAATACTCGTAATAAGTAAACAACAGCATATAAAACCGTCTATATATACGTAAGTAATACCAAACTTGAGAAAGTTGATAAAATCGTTTACCTTGGACAGCAATTAAATTGTAACGCAGAAAGTCACGGCGAAATTAGATCTAGGATAGAGCAGGCTAGATCTGCTTTTAGATGGATGTCTAAGGTGTTTTGTAACAGAGACCTAAAATTGGCATCGAGGATCCGCCCACTTCGCTGCTTCATATTCTTGATTGTAATTTATGGTTTCGAGTCCTGGACTGTGAATAAAATCGATCTAAATCGCTTTGAGGCTTTCGAAATGTGGTGTTATAGAAGAATTTTAAAAGTTTCCTGGGTAGAGTAGATTCGAAACTCCACAATATTAGAACGTCTCAGCAAGACTAATGAGATCATAAAAAGTATCAAGCAGAGAAAGCTGGAATATTTCGGACATGTAATGGAGGTCCCAAATATAGGTTGCTACAAAATATCATGCAAGGAAAAATAGCAGGCAAACGCAGTCCAGGACGAAGAAGAACCTCATGGTTGAAGAACTTGCGAGATTGGTATGGTGTTGATACAGTGAATAAAATTAAGATAGCTATGATGGTAACCAACGTTCTGAAAGGACATGTTACATGAAGAAGAAGGTGCCTCAGTCTGGAAGTCCTAGAAGTAAAACTTCGTCCACATTCAAAAATAATACGAAAATTAGGTCTTCCAATTATATAGCTATTGGTTACCAGCTAGGAAACTTATTACACAAATCAGTTTTTGACGAATTTACTATAAAATTATTTTAGATATTCTTGCTTCGCTATATATTTTGATATAATATTGATATTATTTGAATTTGCTCATATTTTTAATTCTATATTTTTTATTAGACCTGAAAAGTCCAATAAAAAATGTTGAAATGTTAAAATAAAAATCTTGAAAACACTTTACACAAAAGCCTGTCTTTATATTACAATAATATAATTGCTTTATAGTTGTAGGTAGTATGATAAGTTGTAAATTATGTCTTTGTATGAGTAGTATCTAAAATCGTTGGAATATTCAAAAGTCCATGACAATATCACTAGATTATTATGAGCTTACATTCCTGATTTCGAAAGAAAACAAAGCGAATATATTTTAAAAATATATTGTAAATGAGACTTTAATGTAAGTTCTGTAAATAAGATAAAAGTGTATAACCAAAGCTTGTTATATTGAGTAAACCAATAAATTTGGATAGACAAATCCAAAATGAAGCAATCAACCCTTTTTATATTTTTGGCGTAGTATGGCAGTTAAATATTTTTAAAGATAAGATTATATACTAATATAGATCCAGAGTAGTCACTTTTTAGCATACAGTACCTGTATTTTAAACAGAAAATATACAATTGCCTCTTGAATTAACCAAATGGATTAGGAATTAACTTTATTTCACTGATGTATGTTCACCTCAATACATTACTGTTATACTTCCAAATATCCTTATTTATTATTTATATTCATATCTAGTGGTCTTTCAAGTTTCACCCAAATAAATATTTTCGTATTCCTAAGGTAGTTTATAAACACAGTTCTTTAATTTTTCTTGTTCATTATTGGATTTAGTTTTTGATAAAATAGATGTCAATGTGTTGGTTATTTTAAATGTTGTATGTTAGGTATTTTATAAACAAAGTTTTTGTTATTTCTTGTTTAATATTGCGATAAAATATAGCTTCTTCTGCCGATGTCGTACGTTGTGCAGTAGGCGTGTAGGTTTGTGCGTTCATGCTGGTTGAATTATGCGTAAAGATCCTTCTTCTGATCTTCTTATTATTGTACTGATATCAGCTATGTCGCATAGTTTTTTTTTCCTTTCCGACCTTTAATTTTGTCCACTAAAAAATGGTTTTTAGAAGATTATATTTGTCATCCCTTAAAGTATGGCCTAGGGATAAGCTATTTCGCTGTTAAACGATATTGGAATATCTCTTTGGAGATTAGCTCTTCTCAAGACGTCTTCATTTGTAATATGATCGAGCTGTCGAATTTTAAACAACCTTCTGGACACCACATATATTATGGAACGCTTAAATACGGCTTAGCGATCTTACTTTAAGTACGAGGTCTCGCCACTGTAAATTATTTTTGAATTAAATATACCGTAGTTATTGAATTTAGTAAAATTCTAGTTATTGCTACTCGTATCTTCACTTTTTCGTCACAGTTCCACTTACTGATTGAGGTTGCTCCAAGATATTTATATTTATTAACTCTGTATATAAGATTTTATTTTTATTTTGTTTATTTTCAATATGGTATTGTTTGGTGATTATCAATAATTTCATTTTTGTGAAATTAATGTTGAGATTTGAGACCATAATTGCTTTCCAACTATTAATATTATTTACTATATCTTGTAATTCTTCAATGTTGTCTGCTATGATAGCTGTATCATCAGCATATTGCAAATTATTTATCGGAATTCCATTTATTTTGATACCTTTTTCATTCTGCTATGCAAGTTGAAAGATTTTTCCACATACATGTTAACCAGCAGAGGCGAGAGGATGCAACCCTGTCTCACGCCCTTACTTATTCATACTTGTTTTTTATATAGAAAGTTAGAGATCCTTAATTATTTTTGCTTTGGAAACTTTTGATTCCAAAAGACCTCAATGTGTTTGTATTAATATTTATTTTGCTATCTTTAGTTTTTCTGATATGCCTTTTATATGTGTTATTGTTATTATCCTTGAATAATTTGTTGGAACTGTTTTAGGATTTTCTTTAACGTTGTGTTGTTTTATTTTATCTTGTGAAATTTGTTATTTACAAATGATATGGATCATAATTTTTTACTAAAACAAATGCTCACAAATAGTATAATTTAATGATCTCGTTTGAAATATATACGTTATGATTTAGCTTGTACTTCAAGTAATATTCCTATGATTTATTATAATTTAATTATTCCTGTTTATTGATTGAAATGCATTGGGACTTTTTGCCTTAAGATTCTATTTCCGAAGATTCTGTTTCGAGATCTTTGTCATCTCGATTTCAATCATAAGTTTGTGACCAAATCGTATTAACGTTTATCTTATATTTATATACATCAACTTATTCATAAAATTCATGAATCATTTGTTTAATTTAGAACAATTTTTCATTGTTTATTTTACTATTTACT